TATGCAGTGCCCTGGGAGTGGTGGTCTGCCAAGAACTATCTCTAATTGCCATAGTCCCGTGGGATACAGGACCTCTTTCTCAGAGAGGGAGAAGAGGGAGAGGGAGAGGGAGAAAGAAAAGAGAGAGAAAAAAAGTCAAGAAATAAAAAGAAAAAATTTAAAAAGATGGTGCCCACTAGCTTTAGCAAGGCAGAGAGCAGGAAGATGGCTCCCACCATTCTCTGACCCAAGAGAAAATCCCAGCAGGCCTCTGGCTCTCAGACCCATACTTCAAAATTAGGAGACCAGTCTTTTTCACATAAAGTCTGGGCACTTTTCAAAGGGCTACTTCTGCATGGGGTCCTGGGACAGGTGAGTCTGCACACAGGCCCTTTAAGAGCCCTGCCTCAGGTGGCCATAGCCCTGCAGGTCTCATGGGCATTGGAACCCCTCTGATCTTCGAAGCCAAATGTTTTGCAGGCTTGTCTTTCAGGTGCTGGTCTTAGTATTTGGGGTGCCTGATGTACAGTACAATCCTTCATTCCTCAGGAGGAACTTCTGTATTTTGAGTTCCCTCCTGACTGTGAGTCACTGTACTGGGGTTGGGGTTTACTGAAAGATTATGTCCCAGCCTTTCCTACCTGTTTTGATGTGGTTTCCCTCTCGTTTGCCCAATATAAAGGGGTTGCTCTGCCAGTTTTTAGGTTTGTTTTTTTTTCCAAGGGATATTGTTCCATATGTAGCTGTAAATTCAGTATGTCTGTGGGAGGAGGTGAATTCAGGATCTCCTGCATTAGCCATCTTGAACTGAACTCCCCAGAAACTAAGTGTGTTTACAGAGATACAAGTTTTGCTCAGTTTACTTCTCATTAGTTGTGCTCTTTGGGCAGAATACTAACATTACTGGCCTACATTGTGCTTACCCACAAAATAGTAATAACAATAACCTCTGTGCAATTCTTGTAAGGAATCTAAGTCAGCCTCAAACCTGTGCTAATCATATACATTGATATGATATGCGGGGTTCCTAAGGATCCTTAAGGGCAATATTTTATTAGCCCAATTTGGCATAAAAACATGATTGGAAACAGTATAACTCCATGGAAAAGATACATTAGGTCATTTTTTTTTTTAATTTTCTCATTGAAAGCTCATTACAATCCTTTTTGACATGGTTAGTGTTATCATTTTATAGAGGAATGCAACTGTGGCCCAGATAGGTAAGCAGTGTTCCCAAGGTCACACAGTGGGTAAAGAGCAGAGCTGGGATTTCTCCTATTTGCTCTAACTCCAAGGTCTATGCTCTCAACCATTCTTCCCTCATGTCTTCTTTAAATTAAACTTTTGACCAAAGTTGATAGGCATTACTCTAAACAAATGACATTTAACAAGGCTTTATCAAGAAATATCTTTGAAATTCTTCTGGGAATTGTCTTTTTCTTCCAGTGTAGACACTGTCTACACTGTCTGTCTGTGTATGTGTGTCTCTCTCTCTTTTATAGAATCTAAATGTTGTTTCATCACTAGATCATCAAATACATTAATAAAAAATGAGAGAAATTGGACACATTTAACAAGCAGATGTTCAAAAAATGACTTGTAGTCAATAGATGCCTTTGTTGTCCATAACAAAATAAATATTTTGCTAAAACATCAGGAGAGGGATTGCACACAGTTAATGAACAACTGTTAAGTGATGGTTTGTATTCAGAAGATGTGTTTTAGATCTTATTACAACATATAACATGTGACCCCCCCCATGTGAAGGGTAGCAGTTTTATCGGATTTGGAGAGTCTGTTTCCTTCCTTTCAGTCAGGCCGCTGTGCTAGAGCCTGTGTTCCTTTGATGTGTGCCTTCATCCCCAGGCCCTCATTCCAGCCTTGCCTCTTAAGAATACATTTGTCTTTAGTCTTAGAGTTGCGTTGAGAGCCTTTACTGTGGTGCTTTCACTATTACTTTTGCTTTCACTAAATTTTCTGACTTGAGAGGCTTGCCTTTGCTTGATCTTCAGAAAACCTGCCTTTCACCTCCCCCAAATGACTTTTTATTAATAGCTGTGCAACCTTGATTGCTTCTTCCCTTTTGACACAGTCCTTTAATCCTTCAAGTCTAAAACTCAAAATTACCCGTTAACGGTTGCATTCATGAACCAGGTAATGTATCCTTCCTGACATTTCCTCTAAATTCCACCCCCACACTCACATGTGTTCTTTCCCTGCAGGTCTCTACTTCTTTCCACTGATACTTTGCACTCCACATAGAGGTTGAGGCTTTCTTATCAAATTGTTTTTTTTTTAGTTGGCCTGAGTGTGAGGAAACAACTAAGAGTCTTTCCTGCCCCATCCAACCCTGACCTCAAGTTCTCACTAGTGCAGGTATATGATGGAGGCGGCCCACACTTGAGAACAGTTCTCATCTTCCTTATTGTCTTTTATGTTCACAGATTGGCCTGCCAAGGTGCATCCCACTCAGGGCTTGCAGAGGTTGGACTGTCCAGAAAAACCTTCATTGGAACCTACTAACCCTCTCCTCCTTGTCAGGGAAGGGAAAGGAAAGTTTCCAGGAAAGCAGATTTTATAGCATAGTAAATCCTCACTTCCCTCACTTCTCTCGATGTTCAGCAGGTTCCCACCAACAAAAGCCAGAAGACCCTGAAAGGAAGCCTGTGAAGTCTGACAGTGACTCTGGAACCTGGGACAAAGCCCCATCTTTCATAGCCAGTGCTCTGCAGGTCTAAAGAAAATCCCTTGGGAAGTGGGAATGAGGGTTTGTCAAGATCCACCCTTTTGAGGATGCCAAGGTCAGTCTGAGGGAGACAGTCCCAGCAGAGCAAGGGACACAATGAAAGGCACAGCCTACACCATCGGTGGGGACTTAGGGGAGACCAAATGACCCTTCTCACAGAGCCCCAACCCTTAGAGCTATTTTTAAGGAATCAATGCCTAGGAGCTAAGTGTTTCGCATTAATGGGAATCCTGGGGCACATAAGGGGTGGGAGAGGTAATACCAAGGAGAAAGGGCAACTAGGAAGAGGAGAGAATACAGAGGAGAGCAAGCTGCACAGCTGTAGGAAAGATCTAATGTGCTTAGAGGGGAGATGTTCAACCTGTCATGAGTGTTAAGAATTTAAAAGCCAGATTAGACAAGTGTCACTGAACTGGAGTCCCCGATGGGACTCAAATTCCATTATTGGACAAGATTAAGTTTTCTCTCCCTCATCCCCCTCCAGTGAGTGGAAATGGGGTTCAGAGTTATTAGAAGAGATAAAAACATTCTGTTTTCACCTTACTGAGCTGAGACTCCTCCATCAAGCCAGCTACAGGGAAAGTCTCAGACTCTCTGAGCTGGCTGGAATCTCAGCCAGAGAGTTTTTTTTTCTTGCCTGCTCCTTCTCCTGGCACCTGCCCCTCTGCCTACATCTTAGGGATGATGAAAACCAAAAAAGAGTGGAGAGGTTTCCTAGCTTCATTTCAGCATTCAAAACAAACACTCTAATTTTTCACACAAACAACTTTCCATTCTAGCACTTTTTCATTTAAGAGGTTGCATAAAATGTGGTAGCCTGATTTATTATTCATTTAGTAAGCATGACACAGAGTTTCCTAGTGAGGGACCTAACAGATTCAGAAGCCATCTTTGAATTTTATCTTGACGGTATCTCTATGTTCTCACTCAGAGACAAGCTTTTTATTGATAACCAGGGTTAATGTAAATTGGCAGGGGTTTATGTTAATATTTGCTTTTATCCAGCAGGATATTATATATCTGCATCATTTTTGTTCCTAAATCCATGACTTATTGTTCTTCAAAGTTGTACACCTCAAGGCTCCCTTCTTCAGGGTGACTTATTTTCTAAAAGATTTCTCTTTGGGCTTTTCTGCAAATAATCAGTGGTCCTAGCCAAGCTCAGACATGTTTAAATTCTCAGACACATGCCTCTCAGAGTGTTAAGCTGTGTGTGTGTGTGTGTGTGTGCATGTGATATTACATAGGATCTCACTGAAAATTCTTATATGCACCCCTGAGGGAAAATCGGAATGGGAAAGGATCACAGAAAGCAAGCATAGTTTAAAATTGCTTCTAAGGTGATTATGATAGGTCCCTTCTTTACTTAAATATGGTCTTAGAAAGTTGCTATTTTGTTCTAGAATATAGCCTGTCTCACTTTGGAAGTTGCCTGTTTCATTTTTGTTAATATTAAGGTGTTCTTAGCAGTATCTTTTTTAATAAAAGATTTATTTATTTATTTGAGAGAGAGAGGATGTGAGCAGGGGACGGGGCAGAGGGAGAAGGAGAAAGGTAATCCCAAGCAGACTCTGTGAGGGGCCCCTGAGGTGGGGGCCCTGACCCAGGACTGAGGCAGAGCTTGATTTCAAGACCCTGAGATCATGACCTGAGCTGAAATCAAGAGTCAGATGCTTAACTAACTGAGCCATACAGGCGTCCCTTCTTAGCACCCTCTTTATGTAACAGTCATTTGTAGTGGGGAAGGGGACTCACATCTGGCCTTATTAAGAGAGAATAAAAAGGAAAATGACAGGAAATGAAGAGAAAAAGAAGAGATATTTTTCCAAAATATATGGATGAGAGGTGGAATGGAAATAGGAAGAAGAGGATTGAAAGTGTGTGTGTGTGTGTGTGTGTGTGTGTGTGTATAATAAGGAAATGGCCCAATGTAAAAATAGCCAAGTTATTCCAAGGTGGAATCAATGACATAACTGAGATGAAAGACAGTGGAAAATGCTAGTGGATGCTGAAGAGCTGCACTCTGCCTAAAAAGGGAAAAACCAAGAAATGAGGACATAGTGACAGTAAAATAATCCCCAAAACTATCCAGCAGATGGTGCTGTTTGCCCAAAACAGTTCTGTTGCTGCTCAGAACAAAGAGGAAATAATGTTCAACATATAGATGTGAAATAAATGCTTAATTCTTGTACTCCCAAATTCCAGAGTAGTCTAGAAGTTCATAAAACAAGAACTGTAAAACTAATGCTTTAATGTAAACTTTGAAATAACTTACATTTTCACCTTTGATTCCAGGGGCTGTAGATTGAGGTGATATTTTTCAATATTATTCTCCATATCCATGGCCATCTGGTGACTAGAAACAGAAATAATGGCTCAATATAGCTGAACCTAGACAACCTTTATAGCAATAAAACTGCTAATTTATATTTATTTGAAAAAGCAGATATACATCCAATTTTGTTCATTTTAATTAATCCACAGAGGCTTAAAGGTTGCTATTGATGGATAATGGATAAATAACCATACCATAAAAAGAAAATATTGTTTTGCCTTTTACCTTTTCTGTTCTTTTGATTTTTATTCCTTAGCTCAACATTCATATTTAAGGCATGAAAGTCATTTCCTTTAAGCAAAGAAGAAAACAAAATGTTGGGCCATTTCAAGGGGAGAAAAAAACATAAGGAGAGTATTATAAATCCCATGGCATTGTCTAAGTTGTAGAGAGGATCTCATTCATTCTCACCCCAATGGTGCCACTGCCATTGAACCTCTCCTCCTTTCATTCTGTAAGCTTTTGCAGAGCTCCCGCTATGAACAAAGCATGAATCCCCACCCTGGAAAACTCCTGGCAGGGGTCTATAGATATATGATCACTGCTCCTATGGGCTTATTAGGCAATCACTGGGTGCTACAATGATCAAGGAAGATTTCATGGAGATGGTGGTAATTGATGTGGGTTTTGAAGAATGGACAGGAATTAGGTAAGTTGAGATGTGAAAGGTAATACATATGAGAGAGAGATTAAAACAAAGGATTAGAGGTGAAAAATTTCAGGCTATTTTCAGAAAGAGCAATTTGGTGAAAATGGAGGATAAAAGTAGGAAATATGTTTGGATAAGCAGAAAACTAGTAGTCATTGGCCACAAATTGTATATAAAACACTGTCATAGATATTTTACATGTATTATCTTATTCAATTCTCACAGTAGCCTCTACCAATTAAGTATTTCCCCCATTGTACAGCTGAGAAATCTGAAGCTCAAAGAGATTGTGTTTGAGCAGGGAAGAGCAAGATAGTGGAGGAGTAGGAGACCTGGATTTCATCTAGTCACAGGAATTCAGCTACATAGGGATCAAACCATTCTGAACACCTAAGAACTCAACAGGAGATCGAAGAAAAGAAGAGCAACAACTCTCTGAACAGAAAAGTGACCACTTTCTGGAAGGTAGGACGTGCGAAGAAGTGAATCCAAGGCGATATTCGGGAGGATAGACAGCGGGGGAGAGGGCCTCCAATGGCCGCTTCTGGCAAGTGACAGAGCAGCAGAGCACAAAATTGGAATTGTTTAGAAGTCTACTCCACTGAGGGACGTCGCTCCAGTGGCTAAGCAGGGGATGGAACCCTCGCGGGACAGTGTGGTCTCAGGACCCTCAGGGTCACAGAAAGACTGGGGGTGTCTGAGTGCGGCAGAGCTCCCAGGTATCGGAGTGGAGAAGCCAGCTGCAGAGACGGAGCCGAGGAGTGGGCTCTCAGCTCGGGGTTGCCATAAACCATGACCCGCTGTGCAGTCGGGCCACTGCTCTTCCAGCAGGGACCCAACAAGCGACAGATCCGGGGAGACTCTCCTTCCACCCCTGAGAGGAGTGGCATGGGAGTGCACTGTGGGGATCTGCTGGGTTTGGAGACTCCACACAGGGTCGGGTGCCAGAGATAGAAATGCTTGGTCACAGGCCGGGTGAGCACGGAGTGCAGCCGGAGACCGGGGAGATGGGAGTGACTGACTGCTTTTCTCTGGGGGCACACTGAGGAGTGGGGCCCCAAGTTCTCAGCTCCTTCAGGGCAGAGATTGGGAGGCCACCATTTTCACTCTTGTCCTCCAAAGCTGTATGGAAAGCTTGCAGGGAACAAAAGCTACCGAGAGCAAACCAGAGCAGATTACTTAGCCTGGACCGGCAAGGGCGGGGCAATTCTGCCTCCAGCAAAGACATTTGGGAACCACGGCAACAGGCCCCTCCCCCAGAAGATCAGCAAGAACAGCCAGCCAAGACCAAGTCTGCCGATCAATGAGAAGGGCAGAAC